GCTCTCCGGACCGCGCGCGGGCTGCCCTCCCCGCACCTCCCGTGAGAATTCAGGAAGAAGAAATCCCGTGTAGATAGGAGGTTGCAGCCACTGCTAAGGCAGGAGTAGGCAGGGACGACGTGCGACTAAAAAGCACTATACCCAGTTTCTAGGACCACACTCCAGGGGAGCGAATGACACTCGGTGTGTCACGTGTCTGATGAGGGCTTTTCTGCTCCCGGTCTTCATCTTGATGGGGCCCCAGTCGATTTCCGACCTTGACCGGTTTTCAGACCCTGGCCCCGAGTAGATGCGTTTCTAAGACATGCGGTCCCCAGCGGCGTGGGCATGACTGCAGGTGCCCGGGGAATGGTCGGAAACGGGCCGGGCCTCCCCGAAGGCAGAAGCGGGGAAAACAGTCACCCGGTGCGGAATGGAATTCGTTGTGGTTAAAGCCTGTTGCAGATTTAAATAGTCACGGTGTGTGGGTGACTGGGTAATGCATCGTATGGCACTGGAGGTTAATATCCCCCTCCCCCCAATATTACGTTATCTCTTCCTGAGCAAGTGAACAATTAATTATTCAGTTTATTTTAAGGGTAGGGGGTTCTTAAACATTCTAAAAGTACTTTTTAACGTAACCGATTCTGCCTTAAAATATTTTTTTCTTAAGCATATCCTCCTTGCTTTTGAGTTGCCCTAAGTGTGGGAGGGAACACCAGTCTTCAATTGCAAATAATGTGTCTCAGGATCAGGTGCATTTAGGAAACACTACAAGGCCAGGTAGTAAATGCTGGGTTTTTCAGGCCCATCTAGTCTCTGTGGCAACAATGCGTCTCTGCCATTGTAGCGTGAACTGTGAACAAATAAAATTATTTAGGGACAGATGGTTTCATTTTCTATCGTTTTCACATGTCATGAAATATTCTTTGGAGATTTTTCAACCATGTGACACTGCCCTGGCCGACTTAGCTCAGTGGTTGGAGCATTGGCCTGCGAACCCAAGGGTCGAGGGTTTGACCCTGTCGGGGCACATGCAGAAGGCAACCAATCGATGTGTCTCTCTTACGTCCATGTCAATGTTTCTCTCTCTCTCTCTCTCTCTCTCT